CCCCAAAACCCCAAAACCCCAAAACCCCAAAACCCCTTTGACCAATAAAGATATTGAAGATTAATTAACGAAAAATCCTTCCTATAGCTTTGTTATTAGTCTTAACTGATATTTCTAATGTTTCTGTTGAAATATTTGTGGATTTTACTTTCTTGAGACTGTACGAGCCCTAGCAAAGGTGTCATTCTCATTTTCCTCTTCCTCTGATTCCTCTTCCTCAGACTCTTCTTCAAGGCTATACTGGTTAGGCTGGTTCTGAGCCTGGAACTGGTGCTTATCTTCAATGATTCCTAGCTTTATCAGATAATCTATTGAGTTTGAATGACCTTGAGAAGCAGCTTCTTTGAAGAGGTCAATAGCTTTCATCTCATCTATCTTGTAATGAATCCCATTTTGATAAGCAAGACCAAGATTGAACAATGCATCTTTGTTACCATAGTTAACAGCTTCTTCATAGAGTCTAACAGCCTCTTTATGGTTGGGGGAATATTGTGAGAAACCAACTTCAAGCATAAGAGCGAGGTTGTTAATACACTGAGAGTTTCCTCTTTGAGCTCCTTTTGAGTACCATTCATAAGCTCTTTCTTTATTCTCATTCCCTGGTTTTGAATATCACAGATCTCCTAATTTAAGTCAGGATGTATCATGACCATTCTCTGCTGCTTTTTCAAAATATGTGGATGCAAGATCAAGAGACTTGTCAATTCCTTCTCCATTCATATGCATTAGTCCAAGATAGTATTGAGAATCCTTCAATGAGTCATCTTCTGCAACAGAATATCTGAACCAATGAGCAGCTTCTAGAAACTGTTCCTCTGAGTTATTTTAATTTAGCCTCTTTATAATACAGGAAACCTAAGTTAGACATAGCCTGTGCATTTCCTTTCCGAGAAGATTCTTCATACAAATCATATGCCCTTAGGATATCCTTGTCAACACCTTTACCAAGCTCATAACAAGTACCGAGGTTATTCATGGCTGTTGGATTTCCTTTATCAGCTGCTTTAGTAAATAGTTCAACTGCTAGTTTATAATCCTTTCTGATGTATCACTCTTTGCCAATAGCATTCATGGCCTCTTCTTCCTCTTCAACAACACTATTGTAAAGCTCTATTGATTTTTGAGAGTCTTTAGGCTGTCCATATTCACCATTTTCATAAATTTGGGCCATTCTCACAGCAGCTTTAGTGCTTCCATGCTCTATGGCTCTTTTGTAGAACCCAAGAATTTTTCCATTCTTTTCTGTAGAAGAAGGCTCAATTCCTTTTTCAAATAGATCACCAATCTTGTAAAGAGCATGTGGGTCCATTTTCTGTGCTGCATTGTGATACTGAAGAAACGAAGTGTAGAGATCAGCTTTGACACCTATTCCTTCCTCATAAATTTTCCCAAGAGCCACTGAAGCATTGGTGTTTCCCATTGCTGCACTTTGTTCATACTTGTCAATGGCCATATCAATGTTTTTCTCTGTCCCATGACCATGAAACAGACAATTAGCTTCGATGAAGAGCTGGCCGGCTTTGGATAAACGAATTTGACGAATATTTTCTTGCTTTTGAGCTCCTTTCTTCTCTCTAGCGCTCTCATCTTTTCTTGGATTAGGCCTAGGTGCATTTTGAAGTACACTGTTAAGGTTTAATTCTTCCTTATTTTCCTCCAATTCACCAGCAAGCTCGTTAATGCGAGTCTGGATCAGATGAATCTCATCCCGATACTTTGAAGTATCAGCAGTTTTGGTCTTAGAATCAATTATCAAAATCGTTCTGGTAATGTTATTGATCCTTTGAGAAGCTTCATTTAACTTTTTAGTTACACTTCCTTTGATAAAGCTCCTCTTGAAACCTCCAGATTTAGTCATACGATTAATTTGTCTATCGATATAATCAAGTTCATCCTTGATATCAGCCTCAAGTTCCTTCAGACCTCTGTGGTCATAGACCTTATTGTTTCGTTTTTCCTCAAGGATGTGCTCCAGATGGTTAAGTTCATCTACTAACTTCTGTTTCTTAATTCCTTGGAGTTCTTTGGTCTCTTCTATACGAACCACAACATCTTTGATCCTGTCAAGCAAACTTGAGAAAGATATTTTGTCTTTCTTATGCCTGCTTGATTTCTTATGTTCTTCACTATTCATTTAAAATAGTTTCAAAATATTTAAAATATTTTGGGGTTTTGGGGTTTTGGGGTTTTGGGGTTTTGGGG